AACTAGACTGAAGAATTGAGCTGATATGGGTTAAGGGAATCAGGATGCAGTGGGTGGGTATGAACTAAGAGGGTAATCCAGAGATCTGGGGAGCTAAGAGCAGAAGCAGGCCTGTGCCCAAGGCTAGAAGGAGAACAAGATGTGGGGGCTGGGAGATTGACTTTGCTTTATGGAATTTTTAAAAACATGCTTAAATTTATATGGAAGCACAAAAGACCCTGGATAGCCAAAGCAAAGAGCACAAAGAGCAATGCTGGGGGGATCACTATACCAGATCTCAACGTATACCACAGAGCTATAGTCATAAAAACAGCATGGTAGTGGCACAAAAATAGACACATAGATGAATGGAACATCATTGAAGATCCAAACCCAAATACACACAATTTCAGCCACCTGATATTTGACAAAGGTGCCAAGAACACATGATGGTGGAAAGAGGATCTTCAACAAATGGTGCTGGCAAAACTGGATCTTCACCTGTAGAAGAATGAAACTAGATCCTTATCTTTCACCTTGCACAAATGTCAACTCCAAATGGATCAAAGACCTCAATGTGAAACTGAAAACCCTGAAACTATTAGAAGAAAATATTGACAGTAACTTACAAGATATACATGTAGGAAGGATTTTCTAAATCGGACAGAAGTTGCTCAAGAATTAAGGTCAGCAACAAGTGGGACCTCGTTAAACTGAAAAGCTTCTGTACAGCAAAAGAAACAAAAAAGTGAAGAGAAAACCCACAGAATGGGAAAAAAATCTTCACCAGTGACACATCTGATGGAGGTTTAACATCCAGAATATATAAAGAACTCAAAAAACAAAGAATCAAGAAACCAAATGACCCAACTAAAAGATGGGCTAAAGATCTAAACAGCGAGTTCTCAAAGGAAGAAATAAAAATGGCTAAGAAACATCTAAAAAAGTGCTCAACATTGTTAGTCATTAGGAAAATGCAAACTAAAACCACCCTAAGGTATCACCTTACTACAGGCAGACTGGCTAGGATCAAGAGAACAAATGATACCAAATGCTGGTGAGGATGTAGAGAAAGGTGAACGCTCATTCACTGCTGGTGGGATAGCAAACTCATACAACCGCTATAGAAGACAGTGTGCAGAACTCTTAAAAACCTAAAAATGAACCTACTATATGACCCAGTTATACCACTCCTTGGCATATACCCAAAGCACTCTTTCTATTGTAGAGACACTTGTACATCCATGTTTGTTGCTGCTCTTTTCACAATAGCTAAGAGATGGAAGCAACCTAAGTGCCCCTCAACTCACGAGTGGTTAACAAAAATGTGGTTCTATTGGAGTTCTATTCAGCAGTAAAGAAAGATCAAATAATGAAATTTGCAGGTAAATGGATGAATCTAGAAACTGTAATACTGAGTGAAGTAACACAGACCCAGAAAAACATCTATGTATGTTCTCCCTCATATGTGGATCCTAGCACCAAATCCTTCTAAATTCCAGGTCCTTTTAATAAGATGATGCTATACAGCAGTCCCTTCTGCATGAAAGAAATACCATCATCATGACTTCAGCTAAGCCTGGTCGCTAAACATCATCACAATTGGGCTTGTTGACGGTTGTGTTCATTCATTAAAAGAGGGCCAAGCAGGGTCATTGGACCCTCACTGGAGTATCCAGCCACTCTTTCCAGCCAACTGTATATAATTTGGCCCTAATCACACATGGCCTCCTGGATTTAGAGAGTGCTAAATTATCCAATCTGGGGAAGGCTAGGAAGAGAAAGCACAACCCATGCTGAGTAAAGGCTTTCCAGTGTGCATACCCTCAGACCACATATACACCTTCACAACCCCTCAGTTATCTCGGTAAGTAAGCTCAATAAATTCATTGGTTCCCCAGTAAAACCTTAATCAAACATTGGCTTGACACTAGAACCTTAAAAGGGAATAAGCATTGTTTAGCATCCCCAGGAAAAGAAGTTCCTCAACAGTAGGAGAATCTATTTGTTAATGCTATTATGATTCATAATTATTTTTTAAAAAAAGAAAATGAGAATGTAAAATGTGTTAAAAGGATAGGGGAATGGAGATATTTTCTAAAATAGGCAGAAAAAATGAGAAAGTCCAAGTAAGAGATGAAGGTCTATATAGGTTTGCTATGATTTATAAAGGATAAGACAAAAATAATATACACACAATCTTAAAATTTCTATGGTCATAATATAGTCAACTAGTTTAAGGAACAAAGTATATATCTAGTCAAGGCTTATCTGAGAATATTTGTTTTTTTATGCAAACCTTATCTACATAGCATATGATAATTAAAAGTACCAGACTGGTGGAACTAACCTTATTGGATGTTTAACAGCCATACTTTGAGGCCTATACTAATGTGGTCAGAGAGATCTAAAGGACAGTTTTTGCCCCTTGCCCTCCAAGGTCAACTAAGTTCCAGGGGACTATGGAACATCTCTCAAAATGTCCTGTAACTGGGGTGAGTCACCTGTCCACTTGTTCAGGGAGGACATGGAGACCTCCACAAGATAGACTTTGTAGACAGTGTCCAGTCTACAAAGAGGAGGGTCAACTCAGAGGAAACATTTCCTCTATGCTTTCAAGTGAAGCCAGCCACAGCTGAGCAGGACCTTTGACCTTATCTTCACATAGATGAAACTGGTAAAAGAAAGGAGCCAGGAGCTCCTCCCAAGTCCATGTGACCCCTGAGGAACAGATCCTCAAATGACCTTAAGTATAAAAATAAATCAATTTATTTGGGCCAACTGTATGGTCTTAAACACCCAAAAGGAAAGTATAACCAAAGAGCAAAGTCATCAGTATATTTAAGAGTTCAAGGGATTACACTTCCCAGACATCAGGCTTTAGTCTATATAAAAAGTTATTTACACAATTATCTCTCATTGATGATTTTGTTCCTAACCAGAAAGTGCTGCTCAGATGTATGACTTCAGTCTTGGTCCCTAATAGATAAAGTAGCCTATGGATGAATCCAGTTGATCAGGAGAAAGCACCAGGACACAGATAAAATGCCATTGGAATAGAGTTTATTAGCAAAAGAACACATGGGACAGATTCCCTTCCTGGCAGGGAAAATGTCTGCCCCAGGTCGTGAGCTGGGGTCTTTTTTATACGAGGAGGCTTCTGCTTCCTGCAGAAGGCGGGAAGATATATATATATCTATTTTTTTAAGTTGAGGGGGGGAGCGGGAGAGCAGGACTGTTAAAACCTGCCCTCCTTAGAGATCAAAGGGGAAGCCTGCTGCTGTATTGGCCAAACAGTGGAGAAAAGTCTGCTTCTCTTGACTTCAAAGCCCAGGGTGCATATCAACTCGGTTCCCTTTTCTCAGGGGCTTGTGAGGTCCATGAGGCCCTGTTGGTGAGGGGCCAGGGTTATCTGAACCTTAACAGTCCCCAAGACTGTTAGTGCCCACCTGTAGCTAAGGGAGACAACCAGCTATTGTTCTACCTAGAACAATAGTGAGGGAACTGACACTGATTCTAACCTCTCCAACAGCTATCAAAATACCTGAAAGCAAATCCTGAATCCATCACTCTAGAGTCCAGCCTTGGAAGCCAAAAGAAAAATGAGGAGGAACCCAATAGAGGGATGCTTTTGGAAGCCCTTGTCAAGAAATTCCAATGGACTCTCATAGGAACATTTGAAAATTGCCGTTTTGATTTTTTTCTAGTTCCCTGTCTAGAACTTGTAATGCTAATTACTCTTGCCTTTACTTCTCCTTCACATCTCCTATGATTCAGACTTTCTTCTCCACCTGGAGATATGGTTATGCAATTTGGAAGTCTTTTAGACCCACTGAAGGGGTACTCCAATTGCCTCACCCTGAGTCCCTGTTTAGCATGGAAGAAACCAGAGTGGTCTGTGTTCCAATTCCCTATTGGTAATTTGGGTAACCTCTTCAGAGGATGGTGTGATAAGAATAAGAGGTAGGAATTGGCTAGGCAGTTAGGGTAAAAAGACCCCAAAAAAAAGTAGGCAGTTTCTTGGCTAAAAGTCAAAATGTCCTTGGGCCTCTTAGCAACATACTCTGTTCCAAAGACCAAAAATGTCAAAAGTATTTGGGAGCTTGTATCTAAACCTTAAAAGATTGTAGGGGTACCTCTTCAGAGGGAGGAATATTAGAGTAGCTAAAAGCCCCATAAAAATAAATAAATAAAAGAAGAAGAAAGAGAACATGAAGTTATCAGAAAAAAGTGATGGGGAGATACGGAGGAGTTGGAGGGGAGGGAGTGGGCATGGATTTGATCTAAACACCTTATATGCATGTATGAAATTCTCAATAAATTATGTATTTAAATTTAAAAATCTGAAAAAAGAAAAGATATGGGAATCACAGTACTGTGAACATAACACCATGGTGATGTTTGTAGCCTGTCCAATCTACAGGTGTATGCAAGAGCCTGCAGGGGTGGCCGGGGGCTGAGATGGGCTGGATGTGCCCATCTCTGGCGCCTTAGCTCAACCTTGAATCCTTCCTTCCCCCCACAGGAGGTTGCCTGACAACCAGGCCTAGGTTGGGCGGAGCAGCAAATTTGAGAAACAAAGAGAGATCAGGCAGGCGGAAAGCCTTTGAGACCAGGAAGAAGTGGGACTCTGGGCCAGCAAGTGGCACCTGGTGCCCGCTATTAATAACAGGGTTGTCGGACGATTACAAGGTGCATTACTGATAACAAGGGCACTCTGTAGGAATAAATACATAGCCCCATGTCTGTCACCTGAAATCTTTTCAACATCCGCTACTTGCGCCCATCCTCATTTGGGAGAGAAGTGAAGTATGTGGATCCCAGCCAGGGACCCTAGACTTAACCCCAACCTCTAATCCTGAAGGGCGGTGGCCCCCGCTGGCCACAGGGGACCGCAGGGGCGGGCCGGAGCGCAGGTGGCGCCGGCCCACAAGGGGGCGGGCCCAGCGGCCGTCCCGCCCGGCATCCTGGTCACCCACCCGGACTCCACCTGCGCGAGAGCCCACGGCGCCCACAGTCGCAGCGCATCAGCCGCCCCAGCCGGGTGCCCAACCTCCGGGGTCCGCACAGAGCCCGCCCGCCGCCGCGCTGCACGCCCAGAGCGCGCCCTCGGCCCCCGCGGGGACGCAGGGCCCCGCCGCCGTCATGCTGCCGGTCCTCTACACCGGCCTGGCGGGGCTGCTGCTCCTGCCGCTGCTGCTCAACTTCTGCTGCCCCTACTTGCTGCAGGACGTGCGCTACTTCCTGCGGCTGGCCGGTATGGCCCGGCGGGTGCACAGCTATCGGCAGCGGCGGCCGGTGCGCACCCTCCTGCGGGTCTTCCTGGAGAAAGCCCGCCAGACCCCGCACAAGCCTCTGCTGCTCTTCCGCGACGAGACGCTCACCTACGCCCAGGTAGACCGGCGCAGCAACCAGGTGGCGCGAGTGCTGCACGACCAGCTGGGGCTGCGGCAGGGAGACTGCGTGGCGCTCTTCATGGGCAATGAGCCGGCCTACGTGTGGCTCTGGCTCGGGCTCCTCAAGCTGGGCTGCCCCATGGCGTGCCTCAACTACAACATCCGTGCAAAGTCTCTGCTGCATTGCTTCCAGTGCTGCGGGGCGAAGGTGCTGCTGGCCGCCCCAGGTGAGCTGCGGACCGCAGGCCCTAGCGCTGGCGGACACTGCCCGTTGGCCGCAAGAGCTGCAGGATAGTGGGAGGCTAGGGAGAAATGGAAACAGGTCAGTTCGAGGTGTGCAGAGAGGATAATAACGTTGCCTTGCAACGCTAATTAATAACGATTGGAATCAGCCGGGTGGTGGCGCTCACCGTTAATCCCAGCACTTGAAAGGCAGAGAGGCAGGGGGATCTATGTGACATTGAGGCCAGCCTGGTCCATATAGCAAGTTACAGGTCAGCTGGGGCTACAGGGAGACCCTGTCTCAAAAAAGACCAAATCATCATCATTAGAATCAACAGTTGTGAAGTGGCCTGTCAAACACTACAGTCCTTCAGTGTGGGATGGGAGAGGGAATAGCTCCAGTTACCCAAATCCTAGGATCCTCAAGTCTCTTATTTAAAATGGTGTGTTTGTGTATAACCTAACATGCCCTACTTTAAATTATCTCCAGATTACTTATAATAGCTAACTCAGTATGAACTACGAAGCTACCAGTTCTTATACTGTGTTGTTTAGGGATGATGGCAGGAAATGGTGTACACATGTTCAGCGCAGAGGCAGCCTTCCACCCGGGAATTTTTCCCGTAGGGGTTGATTGAATCTGTAGATGCTGAAAATGAGTAGACTGCTGAACCACTGTATATGCACAATGTTGCTTTTAATTCTCAAAACAGGCAGGGGTTACCATGGGACTTACAGATGAGACCAAGTGAGGCCCAGAGAGGAGAAGCCTCTGGCCCAGCGTTGCAGAGCTGGAAGACAAGGGATTTAGCGGGGGTAGCCATCTCCAAAGTCCATTCCTTTAACCCTCGCTTACAACATGACATTACAGTTCAGAGGGTCTAGCATGTGAACCACAGTGGATCCAAACTCCGCTCCTTGGTAGCTCTATGACCCTGGGAAAGTCACTTCCCTTTTCCATCCTTTCATTTTCTCTCTGTCCAGAGGCTGTCTTCAAGGCTGCTTCCAGATCTTAAGTGCTGTTAGCATGCCTGGCCTCTCACTGCAGAGAAGCTGGCTCTACCTGATAGCAAGGAGAAGCCTGGGGAACTGCCATAGTGCTCTTTTTTATCTTGTTGCATCTGTAAAAGTAGTGACTTCATTTGTATGGCTGCCTGAATGAAAACCTCATGATAAAGTGATGCCCAAGCCAGCAAGACACAGAACCTGTTACCTACAGGGCTGATGAGGTACCCTTCCCTCCCTCCCAACACCTAGTCTCTGAACTCCACCCTTTCTCCTCCCAAAGAGTGTGTCTGCTCTCTGCACCAAAGGTTGCGTCTTACAGAAAGAGGAGGCCTAACCAGGTATGGGCTAAAAAGATATGAGTGACAGTACAGAAGCTGAGGGAACCAAGAGGTCCCAGCTCTTTGTAATGCCTGTCTGTGCCAAGCACTGTAATGGATGTTTTCATTACTCTAGCAAATTAAAAGACACTCCCCCCCCATGTATGGTTGAGGAAACTGAGGCTTAAAATGCTAACCTAGATCTATTCAACTTCAAAGCCTGTGTTCTTTTTACATCACACTGCTCTCCACACCCATGTAAATGTTAGAACTGCAAAGGATCAAAAAATCTATCTGCTGGCCAGGCATGGTGGCGGACTCCTTTAATCCCATCCTTCATTTCATATAAGTTTTCCTAGTGCCACAAGAAGATGAAATGCCCATTTACTCATAAGAGCCAGCAAGTTTGCAAGTCTGTTCTGTGTGACATAAAATAATGTAATACGAAAAATATAGACTTCTTATGAAAATTGAAAAGCAGAGAGATGGTATTAAAGGCATCCAAATTATTTGAAGGGTCTGGTCCTTTCAAGAAACTGTCAACAATTTCTAATTGCCTGGGAATAGACAACATCATTCCTTCAAAACTGAAAGACTCTCCCAAGCTTGTTATTTTATAGTGGGAAGTTGTTAACACGGTGATCTTTGTTCCACCATAAGAGGCACTGGAACATTTCCTCCTTAGCAAACTCAGCCTCCTTGGAAGGACTTCAGAAGGCTTACAGTTGAATTGACAGAGAAGCTCAAAGTTAAATAACTAATTAATTGAGTTTAGTTTTGTAATAAAGTCAGAAACACAACTACAAAACGGTTTAATGTCCCTGATCTGAAATGCTTAGAACTAGAAGTGTTTCAGGTCCCAATTTTGGAATATTTGTGTGTGTGTGTGTGTATATATATATATATATATATATATATATATCTTAGGATGGAATCCAAGTCCAAACACAGTTCATTTATATTTCATATACACTTTACTCACTTAGAGAGGGTGACTCTATACAGCATGTTTAATAATTCTGTACAAGAACCAAAGCTCCACAGTATAGAATTTTCCACTTGTGGAATAATGCCCACACTCAAGAAAACTGAATCTTGGAGCACTTCAGATTTTCAAATTAGGAATACCCAATATGTACTTTCTTCTTCAGACAGACCATAGTGCTCTGCCAGAAAACACCATGTTTACATGGAGAATGTAATGAATTTCCTACATTCAAATCAAACTTGAACCCCACTTTCTATCCACATGATCCAGAGTTACACTCTGACCTAAAACAATTACTAAATAAGCAAAACAGAGTCCAAAGTTGAATGTTTAGTAGATATGCCCATGTAGAAATGTGTAAATTAACCTTTGAGAGAAGACACACAACAGAAAAACATTCACTTTTTCCAAATAATGGAGATGCCTTTGTACCTAGTGCACTCTGACCTAGAACCATTTCTGCAAAGAGAGTCACACAGAGTCCAAATCACAGAGTGAGTACATGTGCCCAAGTGGAAAAGTGTTGAATGGACTGATTCTTAGAATTATTTTGGATTATAAGGAACCTTAGAGATGTTGAAATCCTGTAATCCTTTAACTTTAATGTGTGTTACACCTACAAAAAAAATGTGTAAAAGAAACCTAATGAGTACAAGAATCATCACTTTGCAAAACACGTTCCAGAATCTCATTCGAAAAATTCTGAGTCAGTGATTGTGGTGGTGGCCAAATAAGTCCCAATCTCAGCCCAAAATGGTCTGAGGACTGACCTTTGAGAATTAGCCTAATTTCCGCTTGTTTTACAACTGAACAAACCAAGGGTTAAATGACTAATTGAGTTCGGTTTTGTAGTAAACTTAGAAACATAACTACACACAGGTTGAATGTCCCTCATCTGAACAGCTTGGGATCAGAAGTGCTGCAGATTTCTTCCAATTTTGTAAGTGATATCAAGATGCCCAGAGGAATGGTATCAGTTGCCCAGGACAATGGGGATAGCCAGCAACGGTGAGCTGCACATACCCAGAGTTTTTCTTCTGCTTCCAGAACACTGTTTATTCTATCAACCCATCTGAGCTTAGTTCATAAGGGAGAATTTGTTTTATTTTTTTTTTTTTACTTTTTGTTTATTTTACGTGTATGAATGTTATACCTGCATGTAACTTACTACATTTGCATCATGCAGTGCCCAAAGAGGACAAAAGAGGATGTTGGATCCCCTGGAACTCGAGTTACAGACAGTTATTAGCTGCCATGTGGGTGCTGGGATTCAAACCCAGGTCTTCTGTAAAAGCAGTGCTCTTAACTACAAAACCATCTCTCTAGCCCCTTATTTGTTTTGTTTTTTTGTTTTTATTAAATTTTGTTGTATTTCATACAGTATATCCCAAACAATCTGAATCATCTTTACAGCCCTGTCCCCACCAGAACCCTCTCATAGCCCCCCCACTGGAACCCATATACTCTGTCCTGGGTGCTAAGGCCCACTGTGTCAAGTCAGTGTCCCCAGACATTCCCCAGTGAAAATCCATCCACTTGCAGTCTAGTCAGATCCCTCTCATCTATTTATCCAAATACCTATCATTTTCTTTTTATTAATAGACCATAGGGTGGGGGTTTATTTACAGAGGAGTGGGTGCCCCCCCATTTATGCCTGCACTAGAAAGACCACACTCAAATATAGATCCCGTGACTTCCCGACAGCCCCAGAAAATGGTAAGAGAGGGGCCTCCTGGTGTTCTCGGCTTGTATATCCTTAGCCCTTCCCCCACATGCAGCTCAGGTCGACTGATTGGGTGGGAAGGGTAACTGACTCCTTGATGAGCCTGAGAAGGAGGTATGATTATAGCTTGCCAGCATAGTGATCAGAGTACACTTCCAGTTAACAGTCCACCCCTTCCTCCGGCTCTTGCATTCTTTCTGCCAACCTCTTCTGCAAAAGTCCCTGAGCCTTGGAGGGAATAGTAGGTGTGTGATGATCTTCCTCCTATTGTGGCAAGGCACTGAACTTTTGGGTCTCTGCATCGTCAGTTTTCCATGGGCTGTTGGCATATTTCAGTGGGATTCCATCTACTATAAAAACACAAACAGCAAGAAGCAAGAACATCTAAACAGTAACTGCTATAATAACTTAACCTATGGTGTAAACACAAATGCTTGGACGGTACTTTAGCAGGTGCATTACATCCATCTAACAAAATAGTTGAGTGGCTTCCCACTGGGGCCTGTATTCTCCCCTTCCACTTGGGGGTCGGTCTGGTCTACAGTACCAGATATGTGTTCCACCCCTAGGAGCAGGCATTTTATCCAATCAAAAATTTGCTGGCTGTACATACACTAGATGCTCCACTATTGCACCAGCAGGAACATGTTGTTTGGTGTGTTGATAGTGCAACACTCAGGGTCTGTCATTGAGCAGAATTATAGGGAACAATTCTCCCCCAATCATCTGCATATCACCTTTTGGCACCATGAAAGCCACCCATCCAGTGGCAGTGAGTTTCCAGCTTAGTTCAAGCTTGAATTTTCCCTCTCCTGCACTCACGTCAAGCAGTGTCTTCAGCAGTAGGGTCTCTCTGTCTACTTCTAGTGTAAAACCAACATTATTGGCAATTGCCTTTATTGTTTTGGGGACCTCCAGAGCCCCTCAGGCCAACAGCTCATAGTGGAGGCAACCCACCTCTGGCACTAG